CTTCAACTAAATGTTTTGGCTCACATCAACATCTAAAATCACATCCTCCACCTACTCAACTTCCCCCTACAACTCTCCGAACCCATACGCAACCTAGGCATCAGGTTCGACCCCCAATTATCCTTCCTCCCCCACATCCAGTCCCTCACCAGCACCGCTTTCTTCCACCTCCGACACATCGCCCGTCTCCACCAATACCTCACTCCAAAAGCTGCTGAAACCCTGGTCCATGCCTTTATCACCTCTCAGCTGGACTATTCAAATGCCTTCCTCGCCGGTCTCCCCTCCACTACCATCCATAAAATCCAGGTCATTCAAAACTCTGCCTTGCCAGACTGCTCTCTAAGAGTGTTGCTGGTGTTACAGTGGGATAGTGTGTTGTGGTGACAGTGGGAGAGTGTGTTTGTGTGACATTGGTGGTGTATGTTTTCGGGTGACACTGGGAGAGTTTGTTGTTGGCACAGTGGGAGTGTGTGTTGGGGTAACAGTGGCAAACTGTTGTCACTCTACTTGCTGATATCGTATACCTCTTCCTGTCCTCTGGTACTGTTCCCATGCCATTAAACTCGCTGTCATCACCCCATCCTCAAAAACCATCCCTGGACCCTTCTCTACTCCCTAATTACCACCCCATCTTCAACCTCCCCTTCCTCTCCAAGGTCCTGGAACGAGTTGTTGCTTCTCAGCTGCGCTCTTTTCCTCTCCTGCCACTCACTTCTCAAACCCCTCTAATCGGGTTTTTGTGCCGCCCACAACACAGAAACAGCCCTGGCCAAAGTGACAAATAACATTCTGTCCATCTGCGACCAGGACTCCCTCTGCCTCCTCGTCCTCTTTGACTTGTCTGCTGCCTTCAAAACTGTCGATCATTCTATCCTCATCCACCTTGATTGGTTCAGGTCGTACCTCTCACACCGCCTGCACTTCATCTCCTAAAACAGCTTCTCCTCTAACCCCTGGACCATATTGTGCGGCGTTCCTCAGGGCTCTGTCCTTGGTCCTCTCCACTTCAATATTCAATATTTGCTCCCTTTTGGTGACATCTGCAGATATGGGGTCAACGTCCACATGTATGCGGATGATACCCAACTCTATCTCTGCCTCCACCCTTGACTCCAGGACCCACTGCTGTCCTGACAGAATGTCTGTCAGACATCAAGTCCTGGATGAGAGCGAACTTTCTTCAGTTGAACGTCAACAAGACTGAGGCTCTCCTGATTGGCTCCTGTCAGCGCCTCCTCACCTCAGGCACTGACAGCATCACCATCCATGGTTGCACACTCCACATTGCTAAGCCAATCCGGAACCTTGGGGTCTTGTTTGACCTTCAACTATCCTTTCTACCACACCATAACCCGCTCCGCCTTCCCCCATCTCCGCAACATCGCCCAGCTCCAACATTGTTCCACCACCGCAGGCCGTCGAAACCCTCATCATTAAATCAAGGCTCGACTATGCAAACTCATTGCTTATCGGCCTCTCCAACTCCTCCCTCCACAGATCATTCAGAACTCTGCAGCCCATGTCCTCTCCTGCACTAGGCTCTGCGACCCTATCACCCCCATCCTTGCCCAACTCTACTGGCTCCCCATCACACAGAGGATACAGTTCAAGCTTCTGGTCCTCACCTTCAAAGTCCTCTGCGGTCTTGCTCACCCCTACTTCTCTGACCACCTAACCCTCAACCATCCTGTTTGCTCACTCCGCTCAGTGGGCTCCACCCTGCTTTATGTCCCCCACCTTGCTCGTCCCACTATTGGCAGGCGGGCCTTCCGCCACTCTGCCCCCACCCTCAGGAACTCCATCTCACAGTCCCTCCACCTTGCCTTCTCCCTTGCCTCCTTCAAGACCCATTTCAAGACCCTCTCTTTGACTGTGCTAATGATCTCCCTGCTTCCATCCCTGCCTCCACCCTCCGCCATCCCGACCCCCAGCTCGGGTCCATAACTCTGTCTGTCCAGCACCTTGGGATATCCTCCAGACTTGAACGGCGCTTTACAATGTTGTTGTGGTGGTGGTGGTGGCAGTGGAAGAGAATTTGTTGTTGGGTTGGCAGTGGGTGAGAGTGTTGTTTGGGTGATAGTGAGAGTGAATAGGGATGACAATGGGAGAGAGTGTCGTTGAAGTGACAGTGGGAGAGTGTTTGTTGTTGGGATGCAGTGGGAGAGAATGTTGTAGGTGTGACAGTGGGAGAGTGAATAGGGGCGATCGTGTGAAAGAGTATTTTGGGAGTGACAATGGGAGATTGTGTTGGGGTGACCAAGGGAATCTGTGTTGTGGTGACAGTTGGAGATTGTTGTTGTGGTGAAATTGATGGAGTATATTGTTCAGTTCAACATAGTAGAGTTTGTTTGGATGACAATGGGGGAGAATGTTGTTGGGAAGACAGTGGTAAAGAATATGTTGGGGTGGCAGTGTGAGAATATTGTTGGGGTGACAGTGGGAGGGAGTGTTGTTGGGAGTGACAGTGGGAGATTTTTGTTGGGGTAACAGAACAAGAGTGTATTATTGGGATAACTGTGGGAGACAGTTTTTTGTTGGGTTGGTCATGGGAGAGTCTTGTTAGCTTGATAGCGGGAGAGAGTTTTGTTGGGGTGGCAGTGGGACATTTTGTTGGGGTGACAATGTGATAGTGTGTTGTGGTGACATTGGGGGGGTGTGTTGTTGGGTTAACACTGTGTTGGTGTGACAGTGGGAGAGTGTGTTGGGGTTACAGTGTCATTGTGGTGACAGTAGGAGATAGTTTGTTGTTGGGTGGAAGTGGGAGACTATTGTAGTGAAATTTGTTGAGGTGATAATGGGGTTTAGTTGGGTTGACAAGAGTAGATGTGTTGGGGTGATAGTGGGAGAGTATATTGGTGTGATAGTGAGAGAGAGACTGTTGTTGGGGTGACAGTGGAAGAAAGTGCTGCTGGGAAGACATTTGGAGAGTGTGTTGGGGTGACATTAGGGGAGAGTGTTTTTTGTGCGACAGTGGTAGATAGTGTTGGGGTATATTTGGAGAGAGAGTGTTGTTGGCATGACAGTGGGAGAGCATTTGTTGTTTGGGTGGCAATGGGAGAGAGTGTTGGTGGGGTGACAGTGGGAGAGTGTTTTATTGGAGTGACAGTAGGAAGGTGTGTTGGGATGACAGTGGTAAAGTGTTGTTGGGGTGACAGTGGGAGAGTGAATAGGAATGACAGTGGGAGAGAGTTTGTTGTTGGGGTAGCAGTGGGAGAGAGTTGTGGTAACAGTGGGAGAGTTGTTGTGGTGACAATGCGCAAGAGTGTTGGTGTGATATTTGGGGAGTGTGTTGTTGGGGTGACAGTGGGAGAGTGTTGGGGTTTCTGTGGGAGAGAGTATTGTTGGGGTGGCAGTGGTAGAGTGTATTAGGGTGACATTAAGGGAGAGTGTTGTTCGGCTGACATTGGTAGAGTTGGTTGGGATGGCATTGGGGGAGTGTCTTGTTCAGGTGACAGTGGTAGAGAATGTGTTGCTGGGATGGCCGTGGGAAAGATATGTTGGGGTGGCAGTGGGAGAGTGCTGTTGGGATGACAGTGGGAGAGTTTGTTTGGGTGACAATGGGAGAGAGTTTGTGTTGGGTTGGCAGTGGGTGAGAGTGTTATTGGGGTGACATGGTAGAGAATGTACTGTTTGGGTGACAGTGGGAGTGTTGTTCAGGTGGCAGTGGTAGAGAATTATTTGTTGGGGTGGCAGTGGGATCATGTTGCTGGGGTGACGTTGGTAGAGAATTTGTTGTTGGGGTAACAGTGGGAGAGTTTGTTGGGGTGACAGTGGGAGACTTTGTTGGGGTGACATTGCGAGTGATGTGTTGTTCAGGTGACAGTAGTTGAGTGTGTTGGAGTGATAGTGGGCAATTGTGTTGGGGTGACAGTAGGAGTGAGTGTTATTTTGTTGACATTGTGAGATAGTGTGTTGTTGGGGTGACATTGGTAATGTGCTTTGTTGGGGTGACAGTGAGAGAGAGTTTGTTGTTGGGGTGACAGTTCAAGAAAGGGTGTAGTTGATATATCAGTAGAAGAGCGTATTGTTAGGGTGACATTGGGAGAGAGAGCATTGATGGATGACAGTGGGAAGAGAGTATTGTTGAGATGACAGTGGGAGAGGGTGTGTTGGTGTAACAGTGGAAGAGTGTATTGTTAGGGTGACAGTGGCAGAGAGTGTGTTGTTGGGGTGACAGTGGAATTGTGTGTTGTTGGGGTGACAGTAGCAGTGGGAGAGTATGTTGGGATAACATTTGGAGAAAATGTGTTGGGGTGACATTGGGAGTGATGTGTTGTTGGAGTGACAGTGGGAGATTGTGTTGGGGTGACAGAAGGAGTGTGTGTTGTTGGAGTGACATTGGAGGATAGAGTGTTATTGGGCTGACAGTGGGATAGAGGATGTTGTTATGACAGTAGGAGAGAGTATTGTTAGGGTGACAGTGGTAGTGTTGTTGGCGTGATAGTGTGAGAGAGTGTTTTGGTGTGACAGTGGAAAGGTGTGTTGTTAGGGTGACTGTGGCAGAGAGTGTGTTGTTGGGGTGACAGTGCCAGAGAGTGTGTTACTGGGGTGACAGTGGAAGAGAGAGTGTTGTGGTGGCAGTGGGAGATTATGTTGGGTTGACAGTGGGAGAGAGTATGTTGGTGTGACAGTAGGAGAGAGTTTGTTGGGGTGACTTTGGAAGTGATTTGTTGTTGGGGTCGCAGTAGCTAAGTGTTGTAGTGACAGTGGGAGAGAGTATTGGGGTGACAGTAGGAGTGAATGTTGTTGTGTTGACATTGGGAGATAGTGTGTTGTTGGGGTGATATTGGGATAGAATGTTTTGTTGGGTGACAGTGGGTGTGAGTGTGTTGTCGAGAATATGAAAGGCGCTATACAAATGTAATTTTGTTGGTGGGATGACCGCGGGAGAGTGTGTTGTTGGGGTGACGGTGGGAGAGAGTGTGTTGTTGGGGTGGCACTGGAAGGCAGGTGTGTGTTTCTGCCGTTGATGAGTGATGGCTGTTGGCTTTTCCCAGGGGTCACCACGGTGCTCACCATGACGACGCTGAGCATCAGTGCCAGGAACTCGCTTCCCAAGGTTGCTTACGCCACCGCCATGGACTGGTTCATCGCGGTCTGCTACGCCTTTGTCTTTTCAGCTCTCATCGAGTTTGCGACAGTGAATTACTTCACCAAGAGGAGCTGGGCTTGGGATGGCAAAAAGGCCATGGAGGCTCAGGACAAGAAGGTGAGAGGTCACAGCCATCACATGACTCCCAGCCCCCCCCCCCCCCCCCCCCGAGATAAGGTATTGATCACAGTTCTGATCAATCATCATCCGTCAATAACAGTGATCAGTTATTTGCAAATTCTGAGCCCTGGACTTAGTATCAAAGAATCATCATAGAATCGAACAAATGGATCAAACATTTCAGGAGGTGGTCACCCCACAGCCACAGAGAGTTCAGAAGGAGAGTGAGTGGGTGACCACCCAGCATGGTAGGAAGAGGGAAGGGCAGCGCAGAAATCCCGTAAGAGTTTGGCATTCTCTGAGAGTGTAGCACTGAGAGTGTGAGCACAGAAGGAGGCCATTCGGCCTATCATGTCTGTGCCGGCTCTTTGGAAATAGCTATCCAATCAATCCCACACCACCAGGCTCTCCCCATAGCCCTGCAAATGTGTCCTCCCCAAATAATTACCTACTTCTCTCTTAAAAGTGGAGTCCTGTAGCTCAGTGGTTAGAGCACTCGCTTTGCAAGTGAGAGACCTGAGTTCAATTCCAGGCAGGTCAGGGCGAAACCTTGGGCAAGTTTCCTTACTCCACACAGAGCCTAATAATAATAATAATCCCTCCAAATCCCCAAACAATAATGGTCATTTTCAATCTACGACTGTTTGTGGGACATTGCTGTGCGCAATTGGCTGCCGCGTTCGCCCACAAATATACAGTCAATTCACTTTACAGTGTGTTCTGTGCAGCGCTTTGGGACGTCCTCCCGACGTGAAAAGCGCTATATCAAATGCAAGGATTATTATTATTATATTATTATTATCGCATCAGCTTCCACCACCGTTTCAGGCAATGCATTCTAGATCCAAACAACTTGTGTGAAAAACATTCTCCTCATCTTCCCTCTATTTCTTTTAACACCTATTTTAAATCTGTTGCATTAGTTTACTGACCCACCCACCAGTGGAAATAGTTTCTCCTTGTTCACCCTTTTGAATCCCCTCATGATTTTAAAAGCTTCTATTAAGTCCCTCATTCCAGGTACCATCCTGGTAAATCTCCTTTGCATCCTCTCCAATGGTTTGTTATCCTTCCTAAAGTGTGGTGCGCAAAACTGAACACAGTGTTATAGCTGAGGCCTAACCAATGTTTAATAAAGTAACTCCATAGGGTACTGCCTGACACTGCCTCACACTGCCCGGCACTACCAGTCACTGTTTTTGTTTTGGTCAGCTGGGTATCTGTCACATGTGAAAACCCTTCTCCATGCTTAAGAGTATCCAAAGCTAATTGAGATTTCCATGCATCCCAACTGCTCATGGAAATTCGAGAGGTAGATTGTTGGAATGGGATCCGCATTCTCTCTCTCCGTGGAGGCACCCACTTAATTCCAGAATATATTATGCGCAAGTTCGCAAGAGCCAAGGCTTGGGGGAACCCCAGAATGTGCGTTGTGATAACTGCTGGAGTTTAACCAGCTAAAGCCGCATTGATATTGCTTGGCAAGCTTTCGCATAGCTTATCCAGCAACGACCACCTACTCATTGGGTCTTTAGCTTGCAGGGTTAACAGGAGCTGAGTGGGATGATCCCCTGTCCCCAGTAATTGGTCTGCCCTTCTAGGTCCTGCCGATATCCAGACTGGCTGTGCTGTCATCAGCAGTACCCTGGAATACTGCAGACCCATCTGGCTAAGAAACCAGACTAGAGACTGTTACAGAGGATTAGTTTGATTCTGACGTACCCAACTCTACCTTTCCTCTTCTACCCTCAACTCCACGACCACTGATGTCCTGACAGCTGTCTGTCTGACATCGAGTCCTAGACGAGAGACAACTTTCTTCAGCTCAATGTGCGCAAAACTGAGGCCCTCCTGATTGGCTCAAATCAGCGCCTCCGCACCTCAGGCGCTGACAGCATCAGCATCCAAGGCCGCACTCTCCACCTCTCAAAGCCGGTCAGGAACCTCGGGGTTCTGTTCGACCCTGAGCTGTCCTTTCTTCCTCATATCCGCGCCACAACTGGCACCACCTTCCATCACCTCCGAAACATAGCCAGACTACGGCACTACCTCACCCCTCACGCGGCTGAAATACTGGTCCACGCCTTTATCACCTCAAGGCTGGACTATGGGAACTCTTTCCTCATCGGCCTTCCCGGCCCTCCCTCCACACTGCAGGTCATTCAGAACTCTGCAGCTCGTGTGCTGTCCCGCACCAGACACCGCGCCCACATCACTCCCACCCTCACTCGCCTCCACTGGCTTCCCATCCCCTAGAAGATCGAATTCAAGATCCTCATCCTCACCTACAAGGCCATTCACGGCCTTGCACCCTCCTACCTCTCTGACCTACTATCCCCCTACTTGCCTGCCCGTACCCTCCGTTCCTCTGGCTCCGGTCTGCTCCACATCCCCCGCCCTAACCGCCCTACTATCGGTGGCCGGGCCTTCAGCCTCTCAGCCCCGAGGCTCAGGAACTCCATCCCCCAGTGCCTTCGCCGCTTCCTCCCTTTCCTCCTTCAAGGCCGGTCTCAAGACCTTTCTCTTTGACCGTGCCTTCAGCTCCCCTCTCAACTCTCTACCCCCTCCTCGTTCCCTCCCTTCCCTCCCTTCCTCGCTCCCTCTCTTCCCTCCCCTCACCTTGCCCATTTCCCCCCTGCTTGGGTCCTGACCCAATTGTCCAGCGCCTTGGGACGTCCTCCTGCCGTGAAAGGCACATAAATGCAATCTTGTTGTTGTTCTAGTCAAACATGTCACCTTGGAGCCAGTTCAGCCTCAAGGAGACCCCGCTTATCTCCAACTACTGCCTGTCACTGCCTCACACTGCCTGGCACCACCCTAATCCCAAGGAAAATAGTCAATAGTTGGTCTCTGACTATCACTACATGTCAGATTATGTGTCAGATTATATGATCGCGTGTCACTAACATTACCTGCTTGATCTCTAAATCAATTATTTTGTGTAGAAAAGAGAGCCGGTGATTCTCACCAAGAAGACAAACAACACGTATAACATTGTGGGAACCACCTACACCCTGAATATCAGCAAGCCCCCGGCATTGGCCACCATCGCTAACAGTGCCACCAGCCAGCCCTTCCCCCGCCTGGATGACAGGTTGCTGGACTGCAAGAAAACCTACAACAGCGTCAGTAAAGTGGATAAAATGTCCCGAGTCCTATTCCCTGTCCTTTTTGCCATTTTCAATTTGGTTTATTGGGCAACATATGTGAATAGGGAACCGATTATAAAAGGCATGATCCCACAAAAATAGACTCTTTCCCCAGGGACATGTCCAGATATGTGTAGTGTTTTTTTAAGGGATCTGTGAAGTATTGCAAGGAATGTGTCAATCCATCGTGTAACTTTTACTGCGGTTGTATTCTTAAACTGTTTGCATGCTACTCTCTGCAGTGTGTCTGAGTCAGGCTGCTCACTGCAGATCACTCACCTTCTGTCCCTCGGTAACCGCCTCACAACCTGACAAACACAACATCAAAGGTCAGTTTAGAAGAAGAAGGTCCTTCAAGCTTCATCTCATCACCCCCACAGTCTCCGTCCAATCTTCCTGCATCACAGTGTCAACTTCCTGGTAACTATTCCAGACACTGATTGTCTTTTGTGTAAAGAAAATCTTCCTGAAATTCCCTCTACAACTCTAACATCTCCTCAGTCCTCTTATTCTCCTGTTTTGATGCATCCTAATGTATTGATCTAGGTTTACCGTTTCAATTCCATTTAAAATATTATACACCCATAATGAGGTCCCCTCTGAGTTGTCTTCTCCCAGGACAGAAGAGCCCTACTTTCTATCACTTTCCACCTCACTGAGCATCACTCTCCACCTCATTGAGCCAGTGCACAATCTCCATGTCTGTTTGAATCTCAACTGTCCTTTAAACCCTTTATTTGTGCCCTGACCCATTCAGCTTTCCTCCAGTCCACAACTTTGCCACCTTTATCATGCCTAATTTGTCTAAGCAGTGCTCACACCTCATTCCTCTAACACTAACTATCATCCTTGTTGCTCTACTCTGCACTGCCTGGGAAGCTCTTTACGTCACAGTGACAAGAGTTGTCTGTAGTCTTGAAGGTGCAGCCTGAACAGACATTATTTGTCTGTGGGTGATGCCTGGGGATCTGAATTCAACTGAAAGCAACACAATCCAGCCTTGTTTATTGCTGCCTCACACTGTTTAACCTAGTGAGCGATGAGACAAATGACACCCCCTAGATCTGTTTCAGCTTCCCTATTGGTAAGTTGTATCCCATCCATGGAGGGCTTTCAACTTCCCTATAGGCAAGTTCTATCCTGTCCATGGTAAAATGGGCAGACATGTGGCAGATGAAGTTTAATGTGGAGAAATGCGAACTGATGCATTTTGGAAGGACCAATGAGGAGTGTCAGTATAAGCTAGATGGTAGAATCTTAAAGGGGGTGTAGGAACAAAGAGACCTGAGGGGGTCATACATGTAAATATTTGAAGGTAGCAGGACAGATAGATACAGCTGTTAAAAAAGCATACAGGATACAGGGGTTTATAAATAGGGGCATAGAAACAGTCAGTAAGTTGTGATGAATCTTTATAAAACATTGGTTAGGCCTCAGCTAGAGTATTGTGTTCAGTTCCAGGCAACACACCTTAGGAAGGGTATCAAGGAATGAGGGACTTCAGTAATCAGGAGAGGCTAGAAAAGCTCAGATTATTCTCATTGGAGCAGAGAAGGTTAAGAGGACACTTAATAGATGTTTTCAAAGTTATGAGGGGATTCAATGTGTTAAACAAGGAGAAACTATTTCCACAGTGGGTCGGTAACCCGAGGACACTAATTTAAAATAGTGAGGAGAAATTTTTCCACGCAGCAAGTTGTTAGGATCTGGAATGCATTGCCTGAAAGACTGGTGGAAGCTGATTCAATAACAACTTTTAAGAGAGAAGTAGATAAATATTTGGGGAGGACAAGTTTGTAGGGCTGTGGTGAGAGAGCCGGGGAGTGGAATTGATTTGGAAGCTCTTTTCAAAGAGCCGACATAGACACGATGGGCCGAATGGCCTCCTTCTGCGCTGTATAATTCTATGATTCTATGACTTGTGTTTCCTCGCTGCTATATTGTGACCTCATTGCCTAAAAAAACACACCCCCTGCTTCCTTCCCTTCACCCAATTGTGAATCGACATCTGTGTCTTGCCCTCAATACCCAGTGTCCACAGCCCATGAAGGTGTCTTTCATGTGATACTTTGTCAAACACCTTTTGGAAGTCTAGATATACTACATCAAATGGTCAATTTGATGCAGTTAATTTGATGCAATCAGTTTGGGCCGTCACCTCCTCAAAAAAGTCGATGAGATTGGTTAGACAATCTTTATGAGCCCTTCCTGAATGTGAGTTAACTTTCTGCAGTTGAATGTTGACAACTGCAAGACCGAGAACCTCCTGCTTGGTTCCCGTCAGGACCTTCTCACCACAGGCTCTGATAGCATCAATCTAACTGGATGCACACTTCACCTCACTGAGTATCACTCTCCACCTCACTGAGCCTCACTCTCTACCTCACTGAGTATCACTCTCCCCCTCTCTGAGCCTCACTCTCCACCTCACTGTGTGTCACTCTCCATCTCACTGACCAGTGCACAACCTCCGTGTGTCTGTTTGACTCTCAACTGTCCTTTAGACGCTACATTCATGCCCTGACCCATTCAGCTTTCCTCCACTCCGCAACATTTCCACCCTTATCATGTCCACCTCTGCCACTCCCTCTTCCCTCGGGATGCTGTGCCCATTATCCATGCTTTCATCACATCCAGGCTAGACTGTGGCAACTCTCTGCTCATTGGACTTGCCAACTCTTCCTTCCACAAGCTACCTAAAGCTCTGCATCTTGTGTTCTCTCCTGTACTAGGCTCCACAAGCCTATCGCTTTCATCTTCACCCAGATCCACTGGCTTATTTTCCTTCAGTAGAATTTTGTTTTCTAGTAGAAGATCCTCATCTTAACCATTAATTCCCTCCATAGTCTTGTTCCATCTCTGCACCATTTCAAACCCTACAAATCCGGTCCCTCCCAGTGGGTACTGGCTTGTTTCATGTTCCCATGCCCCACGCAGCCCACCATTAGTGGTCAGGCTTTCAGCCTGGAGCTTCATTCTGGATTTTCTTTGACTCCTGCCTTCCCTCACCTCCTTCAAGGTTCACCTTAAGACTTTACTCTTTAGCGTGTTTGGTCATTTCCCCCCCCCCTCCCCCCACCCACCACATCTCCACCCCAGCTCAGGGGAAAACCTTAGACGGCTCAGCACTTTCGGACATCCTCCCAACGTGAAAGGTGTTATATAAATTTGTAACCAGTGTTGGCTGTCAATTATTAGATTATTTTTATATAGGTGAACCTCCACTTTGTTTCTGATGATTAACTCAATCTGGTTTCCTATTATTGAAGTCAAGCTAATGGTTGCCAGGTTTACTTTTGTCACCTTTTTTGAATATGGGAAAAACATCTGTTGATTCCAGTCTGTTGGAACTTCCCCAGTCCTGACTGACTATCATGAATTTCAGAGCGTGGGCCAGAAAGGCTAAGGCCCAACCACTGATGGGTAAGGTGTCATGTCAGATGAAGTATAATATAGGGAAGTGTGAGGTGGCAAAACAGTAGAGCAGATTATTTTTTAGAAGGGGAGAGACGAGATAGTGTTAGCGTTCAGAGGGACTTGGGTGTCCTTGTACACCAGTCACAAAAAGTTAGTTTGCAGCTACAGCAAGTGATTAGGAAGCTAACGGTATGTTGGCATTTGTTACAAAAGGATTAGAATATAAGAGTAGGGAAGTCTTACTGCAGCTGTACAGGACCCTGGTGAGACCGCACCGAGAGTATTGTGTGCAGTTTGGGTCTCCTTATTTAAGAAAGGATGTACTTGCCTTGGAGGGGGTACAACCTGGGTTCACTAGGTTGGTACCAGGGCTGAGGGGGATGAGTTATGAGGATAGGTTGAGCAATTTAGGCCTATATTCTCCAGAATATAGAAGAATGAGAGGTGATCGTATAGAAACCTATAAGATTATTAAGGGGCACAACAGAATAGATAGTGGGAGACGTTTTCCCTGGTTGGAGAAACTATAACCAGGGGTCACAGTCTTAAAATTAGGGGTAAGCCCTTTCGCACTGAGTTGAGGAAAAACTTCTTCACTCAGAGGACAGTGAGTTTATGGAATTCTCTACCTCAAAGGGCTGTAGATGCTCAGTCCTTGAACATAGTCAAGACTGAGTTTGATAGATTTCTTGTGGATAAAGGGATTAAGGGATATGAGGATAAGGCGGGCAAGTGGGGTTAGAATAGATCAGCCGTGATCTTATTGAATGGCGGGGCAGGCTAGAGGGGCTGAATGGCCTACTCCTGCTCCTAATTCTTATGTTCTTATGTTCAGGGCCGTCCACACTGAGCCTCATTTACCCATATTCCTGGCTCTGCAACCCCAAAACCCAATTCTTGCCAGGCTCCATTGTCTCCCATTTGAAGATCCTCACATTCAAATCACTTTACTCCTGGGCACATCCCTACCTCTCGAATCTGCTCCCACTCCAATACAATCCATCTTCGCTCAGCTGGCTCAGAACTGTGCACACCCCTTGTCTTCCTCCGCTCCACCAAATTTCTGGAACTCCCAGCATCAATTCTTCTATCTTGCCTCCTCTTTGGCCATCCTCAAATCACACCTGAAGACTTTTCTTTTTTGACTGTCCCTTCTGTCACCTTCCCTCCCTATCCAGCCCAGCAGGTAACCAGCTCCAGCCCAGCAGGTGTTGTAGCACTTTATGTTGCTGCCCTACATGAAGGATGCTGTATGAATGCAAGCTGTTATGTACAAACAGAACTATCCATACTGAGCCTTTCTGTACACACGGAGGGACTGTACACACACAGGAACTGCACACACACACACAGGCACTGTACACACACAGGCACTGTACACACAATCATTGCATACAGTCACTATACACAAGGTCACTGAACACACACACTGTACATACAAAGCCACTGTACACATGCAGTGACTGCACATACGCAGTGACTGTAAACACACAGGCACTGTACACACACAGGCACTATACACATACACTATACACTGCACAATCCGGCACTGTAAATACAGGAACTGCACACACAGGCACTGCACACACAAAGGCACAGTACAAATAGGCACTACATACAGTGACTACTCACACAGTCCTTGCACACACACATGCACTGTACATACAGGCACTGTACACCCACAG